TTATGTGTTATTTGCTTGCCAAGTATTGGGTTGGCCCAAAAGTTCCTTTTGTTTTTTTCATAAGTTGGCTCTAGTAGTACTTAGTTGTCTTTAACTTCATTCAAAACAATTTTGTTAGATTGTATAGTGTGACATCTGTCATGTCAGCATGCATTTAAAAAAATCAAAATTGGTGAATTTTTGTGTAACATTTTTGTATTGAAGATGGAAGTAAAAAGCAATGTTCTCAGCATACTATGCTTTATTATTTCAAGAAAGATAAAAACACAACTGAAATGCAGAAAAAGATTTCTGCACTGTATGGAGAAGATGGTGTGACTGATCAATAGTGCCAAAAGTGGTTTGCAAAGTTTCGTCCTAGAGATACCTCACTAGACAATGCTCCACAGTCCGGTAGACGAGTTGCAATTGATAGTGATCAGATCGAGACGTTAATTGAGAACAGTCAATGTTACACCACTTGGAAGATAGCCAGCATACACAAAATATCCAAATTGAGCATTGAAAATCATTTGCACCAGCTTGGTTATGATATTTGGGTTCCACATAAGTTAAGTGAATAAAACCTTCTTGACCACATTTCCACATATAATTCTCTTCTTAAACGTAACAAAAATGTTCCACTAACAAATTGTGATGAGCAGTGAAGTGGATACTGTACAATAATGTAGAATGGAAGAGATAGTGAACCACCACCAACCACACCCTAAGGCTGCTCTTCATTCAAAGAAGGTGATGTTTTCTATATGGTGGGTTGGAAGAGACTCCTCTGTTACGAGCTGCTCCAAGAAAAAGAAACAATTAAGTCCAAGTACTGCTCCCAGTTAGACAAAATGAAAGCAGCACTTGATGAAAAGCATCTGAAATTAGTCAACAGAAAATTCATAGTCTCCCAACAGGATAATGCAAGACTGCATATTTCTTTGATAACCAGGCAAAAACTGTCACAGCTTGGCTGGAAAGTTCTGATTCATCTGCTGTATTCACAAGATACCGCACCTTCAGATGTCTATTTATTTCAGTCTTTATAAGATTCTCTTAATGGAAAAAAAGTTCAGTTCATGGAAGACTATAAAAGGCACCTGGAATAGTTCTTTGCTCAAAAAGATAAAAAGTTTTGGGAAGATGGAGGCAGAAGGTAGTGAAACAAAACAGTGAAGATATTGTTCAATAAAGTTCTTGGTGAAAATGAAAACTGTCTTTTATTTTTACTTAAAAACTGAAGGTACATTTTATCTAACCCAATATTATAAACCTTATACAGTATAGTATATATAACTGACTGTTAGTTGGGTAACTTGGCTAACTTTGTTGGACTTATGAACAACTTGGACTTACAGACATGTCTTGAAATGGAACTGGTTTGTATTTAGGGAACTTACTGTAATTTGTTACAGCAACCAAGGAAACCAATCTGGATTTATTTCATGTGCAAAAGCAACTTGGCAGACGTAATTATGTCACAGGTTATGGACCCTGTGGCAGGGGGTAGCCTGGACTGTCTAAATTGGCCAAATCTAATCACTTGGGTCCTTAAAGGCAGTGAAATGTAGCTTCCGGGTGCCAGAGAGATGCAGCAAAAGAGGGTAGAAGAGAGATGACGCAGAAGGGTAGGTCAGAGAGAGAGAGTGAATGTGCCAAGGACTCAGCCCGCCCTTGCTGGCTGGAGATGTAGGAAGGGGCCTCAAGTCAGGGAATTCAGCTGGCCTCTAGAAACTGAGAGTGACCCAGGGCTGGCAGCCAGCAAGGAAAGCGGAACCTCAGGCCTACAGTGACGAGTAACTGAATTCAGCAACAACCTAAACGAGCCTGGGACTGGATTCTCTCCTAGAGAAACGGGAGAGAAGAAAAGGGAGTAGGACCTACTGACTCCTTGATGTTGGCCTTGTGAAACCCAGAGCAGAGAAAACTAGCCAAGCCCACCAGATATAGGACTTAGAAAACTGACACCAGACTATTGGGGGTTTTTTGGTAGCCCCGATATTTTTTATTTTATTTTTTAAATTAATTTTTATTGGAGTAGAGTTGCTTTACAATGTTGTCTTCATTTCTGCTATACCACAAAGTGAATCAGCTGTATGTATATATATTAGATTGTGTTGTTGAAAGCCACTAAGTTCATGGTAATTTGTTATGACCTCAGTAGTAAACCAATACATATCTCAAGTTGCTAAACTCCAACTGAGTCAACCTCCAAAGATATGTTTTACTAAGATAATAAGAGACCTGGATACAGGGCAGTTCTTGGATTTGTAATTCAGCAGTTTGATCCCAGGATGAAGGATCTAGATTCCTCCATCCCTCTGTTCTGCTAACATTGAAATGTTAGCCACCTCCCCTAGTGGTCACAGAGGGTTGCAGGCCCTCCAAGAATCCTTGCCAGAGGAAAAGAGATTTTCTTCCCAGTGCATTTCTTACAAGAAGAAAACAAATCTTCCCAGAAGTTTCCAAGCAGATAGTCCTTCCTGTTTCATTGGCTAGAACGAGTCTCATGGGAACCACTAGGAGCATCGCTGGCACAGAGGACAGAAACACATCTGGACCAGTTAGGATTTATCTGAGTCCTGCAGGCTACAGATGAACAACATAACAAAAGTCCCCACTCTGCTGCGTGGGAAGAGGGCAGTGATGACTGTTGATGTCAACCAAGGGTGTCTGTGGCATCTTTTAGTCTGGTAGATTTATCCTTAGTCCAGCAGCACAATTGCTTCTGTCATCAGTTGAGCTCACCTCCAAAGGTCTTAGAGAAATTTCAGCTTCTGGAATGGTTGTCAGTCTGGGCGTTCAGTATTTCAACACTTCTTCTCCACCTCCAGTTCCCTATCTTTTCCCAGGTATTTTGAAGGGAAGACTGAATTCAAGAGTGCTAGGCAAGAAATTTTTTGAAATAAAATTACTGTTCATCTGCTCTAAGTGGAAGCATAAATGTTATGAGCTTGGAGGCAGGACTTCCCCAGTGGCTCAGAGGTAAAGAATCCACCTGCAATGTCCAAGACGCAGGAGACATGGGTTCGATCCCTGGGTTGGGAACCCCTGCAGGAAGGCATGGCAACCCACTCCAGTATTCTTGCCAGGAAAATACCATGGATAGAAGAGCCTGGCAGTCCATGGGGTTGCAAAGAGTCGAACACAGGGCTGAAGTGCCTGAGCACGCACGCACACACTAGCTTGAAGGCAATGCAAGGGAAACCTTAGTGTACGTGCTTTCAGAAGTGAGTTAGACCGTAGGACTTTAGCCAGACAGGCCCAGCATGGGATGGAGCTGGGGGGTGGGGCGGGGTGACTTAACCCACAGGTAGGAGACTTCTGAAATATAAATCAGACACCAGTCCATGGTGTGCCCCAAGCGTCAGGAGTCACACATCAAGCTCTCTAAGTATCCTGATATATAACTATAAAGCTCCTTATTCTGTGTCAAAGAAGAACCCACTCTATTGGTTTCTGTTGGTGCCCTGTCTGCATCGCCTTCACTAGATGGGGCACCATCTTCTAGTTGCTGTGTCAATGACTAGCAACTCATAGCTGCCCCTTCTCCAGCAAATCACCCAGAGAGCTGCCTCCCAGAGAGGTCATGCTTCTCACTCTGCAGTGACTAATACCTGACATGTGGTCCAAATTGCCAGACCCCTTGCTTCAGAGGGGGTCAATGACACAGTTAAAACTCTGGAGCTTGCTGTGGGATCAGGCTGAGGTTCACGTCCAGCTGAGCCCACAGTCTTTCCAGCGCCTTCTGCCCCATCCTATTTCCCTCACTTCCCACCTCCCCAGAGCCCTCCCACAGCAGGTCACTTGCGCGAGGATTCTTATCTCAGGCTCTGTTCCTAGGGAATTCAACCTAAGACACAACCCACCACGCTTGGGAGCAAGTTCAACAGGAGAAACTCACAACACAGTAACAGCCCTTTGAAACCACTTCTCACTTACAACTGGAACATACCCACCCTTCCATTCCATTTGAAAGTCGCTCAGTTGTGTCCAACTCTATAACCCCGTGGACTATACAGTCCAGGGAATCCTCCAGGCCAGAATACTGGAGTGGGTAGCTGTTCCCTTTTCCAGGGGATCTTCCCAACCCAGGAATTGAACCCAGGTCTCCCACATTGCAGGCAGACTCTACCAGTTGAGCCACAAGGGAAGCCCTTACATGCCCTTTACAATGCCCTTTACAGTGTCATGTAAAGGGTGAATGACAAAGTACCCAAGTGAATATTAACCACCTCCTTTTTAAGTCTAGTGTAGGCGATCCTGCTCAGAAATGTGCAAGAAATGAGTGTGTGTGTGCTCAGTCATGTCCAACTCTTTGCGACTCCATGGAGTGTAGCCTGCCAGGCTCCTCTGTCCATGGGATTCTCCAGGCAAGAATACTGGAGTGGGTTGCCATTTCCTTCTCCAGGGTATCTTCCCAACCCAGGGATCAAACCCATGTCTCTTGTGTCTCATGCATTAGCAAGCAGATTCTTTGCCACTGTGCCAGCTGGGAAGCCCCGAAGTATGCAAGATATTAGCATCTGTTTCTTTGGGACCAGGAATGAAATAACTTCCTTTGACTTCCTGATATTTTACATATAAACTTCCAGGTATATGACAGGAGCCCTCTAAATGGTGGCTGTTATCTTGGATTATAATATAATGCATCAAGGACTCATTGAGTGGCACATGCTAGGCTCTGTGATAAACGTTATCTCATTCTTTCCTTCTGGGGTCTCTCAACAGGGACACTTGAGAAGGGAACACAGAATCATCACCTCCAGTCCTGCTTTACTGATCCCCATTCATGAAACTGAATCTCAGGAAACATTCAATGCCTGGATCTAGTTCCAAACCCAGGGTGGTGCCTAATTTCTTATCAAATATTTTTCTGTCCAAGCCACAATTTCCCTAAACCAGTCCCTCTTTTCCAATTTGGTGTCTGCTGACCTCAGCCAGCAGTGATACAAGCCGTGGGTTCTGGCTTCTTTCCTATTCACAGGTGTCTTTTTTTTTCCTTTCCTTTTATTCAGATCTGTGTGGCTTCTGAAGAAGAACAAGACGGCTTTATCAGAGTGCTCAGTGGAAAGAAGAGAGGCCTGGTCCCCCTCGATGTTCTAGAAAACATCTGATTGCTGGCCCCTCCTTTTGAAGTCGGCAAGCCCTGGGGTGATGCCTCATCTCACACTGTGTTAACCCAGAGGAGCTGCCGCCCTGACCAGCTACCCAGGAAACAGTGAGACGAGACTCAAGGGTCTGAGACTGTGGGGGAACAGCCTCAAGGCAGGGGGCCCATGGCACAGCACGTCCAGGCTGCCCGAGGTGGGGGTGAGGCTGGGAGCTTCGGCTCGTGGAGCCAAGTGTGGTACCCAGCAGGTGGTAACCACTGCTGACGCCTAGAACTCAGCTCCCTCCCCGTCCACGTGGTGTAAGTTAACCTGCTGGAGGGTGCTCCAGTCTGTGGGGTGGCCCGAGGGTGAGGCTCGGATCCAGGTAGCCAGGTGTGATTCTGGTTCCAGACCTCTGTCCCCAGTACCCGCCAGTCAGCATCGTCACATGTGAGAGGCCTGCAGTCTTTCTACAGAGCAGCAGGAAGCCCTACTCCCTAACCCCTAACATGCCAGTGCTCCCCACAGACCCCCACCCCCACTTTACAATCCAGCCAAATCTTCTGTCCTCAGAGTACCTCCTGGTGGTGTGTGTTAGGTGTGAGGGCTAAGCTGATGTGGCAGCAACTTGAAGACCTGATCTGCCCCGGAATTGCCATCAGGCAGCCCCTCCTGCCACTTATTACCAGATGCAGGATATGAAGCATGGAGGTGGTGGGTCAAGTGGGGGAAGGTAGGGCAGAGAGCCTACTTATTGACGACTATACAGCCCTTTCCTTTCGATGATGAAATCCTTTTCCCGAGATGGAGCTGGGGACGTGAATGTGGCAGAAAGTCTCCGTGAGAGCTTCCTCTTCATTTGACCTCTTCTGTGTTAGGGGCAGCTCCCCCTCATGCCATCCCACAGGACTCCCTTTTGGAGGCTGAGCCCATCTTACAGGGAACCGGAATCATGGAGGAGAAATAGAAACAGCATCTTAGGAGAAAAGTAGCCAGATTGGAATCCATTCTTCTTTAGGGCAGGATATTTTGCCCCAGCAGATGTAAAATGGAATGTAATCCATAATGCTTCATCCCTCTGCAAGCAGAGGCACTTGGTCCTATTTAGCATCAACTAGAGGAGTCCCTCTTAACTCTGTATGTACTACTGTTTACAAGAACGCAATATACTGTGATGCCTCCAGCCTCCTCCTAGCATTCAGACTCGCATCTTATTAATACAGTTAAACTTCAGTTCACAGTGACCTTGGAATCAATGTCAGTTTGGTTTATTTTGTTACAGAGCAATAAAGTCCTTAGAACAATTGGTTTTTAAAAGACTTAAGTGGATGCATCCTGTGCATGTAAACATTATTTCCCAAACCAAAGCACTGTTTGTCTCCATTTATTTCTTTTTTTACCGCTTAGTGTGAAGTTAGGAGCTGAGACAGGATGGCTGCTGCTTCCACAGTAGTTTGGATGCCTTACTCTCATTTTTAAAGCCAGCATCCAGAATGTCCTCCCTCTCTGATACAATGTGAAAACTAAGTGTGCAGAGTCAAGATGGATTCTTTGAGAGCCAGGATGGATAATGTGACTGCCAGTCTATTGAAAGGAATAAACAAATGCTCTCTGCCTCTTAATCCCATCTAATAAAGACAACACAGTGGCTGGAAGGAGCACAGAAAACATGTGTCTTGATCTCTTCTTTCTAGTGGAACATCCGCTGAAGCTTTGGGGTACAGTTTTGTCACATCCTCAGTTCAGTTTAGTCGCTCAGTTGTGTGCGACTCTTTGCTACCCCATGGACTGCAGCATGCCAGGCTTCCCTGTCCATCACCAACTCCCAGAGCTTACTCATGCCCATCAAGTTGGTGGTACCACCCAACCAACTCATCCTCTATCGTCGCCTTCTCCTCCCACCTTCAATCTTTCCTAGCATCAGGGTCTTTTTCAATGACTGAGTTCTTCACATCAGGTGGCCAAAGTATTGGAGTTTTCAGCTTCAGCATCAGTCCTTCCAATGAATATTCAGGACTGATCTCCTTTAGGATGGACTGGCTGGATCTCCTTGCAGTCCAAGGGACTCTCAAGAGTCTTCTCCAACACCACAGTTCAAAAGCATCAATTCTTTGGTGCTCAGCTTTCTTTATAGTCCAATTCTCATATCCATACATGACTCCTGGAAAAACCATAGCTTTGACTAGATGGACCTTTGTTGGCAAAGCAATGTCTCTGCTTTTAACATGCTGTCTAGGTTGGTCATAGCTTTTCTTCCGAGGAGCACCAGGGTCTTTTCTCATGAGTCAGTTCTTCGTATCAAGTGGCCAAAGTATTGCAGCATCAGCTTCAGCATCTTTGCTTCCAGTAAATATTCGTGGTTGATCTCTGCTTCCTGATAGTCTTGCCTTTGTGTAGTTCCCCTCCCACACTGAGTCAGGGCTGGTCTTCTATGGCTAATAGAATGCAGCAGATGTGATCCTGCGTGACAGCCATGGCTAGGTCAGAAAAGTCCCTGCAGCTCTGCCTTGATCTCCTGGACCTCTACCCCTGCGGACCCTGAGCCACTGTGTAAGTTTATCTACTCTGAGGCCACGACCCCGGAGAGACCCAGAGTGAGACCACACGTTACTACAGCAGAGAGCAACCCAGACATCACAGAGTGGCAGTCGTCCAGCTGAGCTCTGCCCAAACCTAAGATTTATGAACAAGATAAAGATGTTTTTAAGTCCTTAGATTTGGGAGTGATCTGTTATACACATATAGGTAACTGGAATGGGGACTTTGTCACTCAAGTCAGCATTAGAAAGGAGGAAAAACCTTTCTGCACAATGTGGCCCATAAGTTTTTGCAAACATCAAGTATTGGCAGTGTCAACTAAAAAGAGATGTACAACTTGAGAGTTGTAAGTTAAGTTTTATTTGGGACAAAATGAGGACTGCTGCCTGGGAGGCAGCCTCTCAGATTGAGACTGCTCCAAAGCGGCAGTGGGGGAAAGTCAATATATAAGGTTTTGGTGAAGGAAGCATTCAATACCATGAAGCACTCATTTAACAGAAGGTTTTTTGTTAGTCATGAGGATCTGATGTCACCATGAAGGGATTTAGTGCTTCTCTAGATATGAGAAGATGCAAGGATTGAGATCGTAAAATCTGTTCCTAAAAACATCCAACTATCTAAAGAGCTGTCCCACCAGATTCCCTGGAGCACAGAGTGCCTCCCTCCACCCTGAACTCCCTCAGTGGGTGTTGAAGGTCAACAGCTATAGCAGTGTGGGCTTCAATCTCTGTAGAGGCAGATGGCAAATGCCTTTGTTGTCAGTCGATGGCAATGCTCTTGGTATGTGCCAATTTATAGTTGACATGGCCCCCTTGTGGTCATAAATCCAGCCATACTTTGGGGGGCATTTCATGACCATTTTGTCCCTGGGAAGGCTCATTCCCAGTTCTGAAGGTTTTCACTGTGCTATTACTGGACGAGGTCTTAATCAAAGATCTCTGGATACCTGTCTTCTAATTATGGTCCAGAAAAGTATTCCCTTCTGTTGCATCTTCCCATACCTAGAGTTATACTATTACAATCGTTGATCAAATATCGAGCTATACATTTGATCAACTGCTTCAAGTCTAGTCATCATTATTTTCGTTGGCGGCTCAGTCATACACTTGGTAATACAAGAAACAATAATCTTGGGAAAGAGGCAAAATACAAATAATATAGTTAATAACATTAGTGAAATTAAAAGTAAATATTTAAGCCATGAGCCTCCCACACCAAACCAGTTTCCTAAAAGATGATCAAGACTAGAAAGTGGGTGATTTAAAGCAGAAATCTGATTTTTCATATGGTTCATCAAATGTGTTACCTGAAAGGATTTATCAGAAATTAAAATATAACATTAACTTTGAATTGCAGCACAGATATCTCCCTGAGATGCTGTAAGGTGTCACGGGCCTTATAGCTGTGTAGCACTGCCTTTCTCATCATAGAGATCTCAGCATTCAGTAAGCTGACAGCCCAGTTACTACCATTTAAAGCTTATGAAAGTTGTTAAGGCTTCAATATGGCCGATTACATTCTCTAACCCCATTGAAGGCACACACATACACACAAAAGCTGCTAAATGGTCATACCAGAAGAATACAGATCCTTGACCCACTGGGTTCATACCAATGGTAGATTGGTTGGGGTTACCTCTAATTTGTTAAACTGTATGACCTTAAATTCATGGGAATCCCAGGCTACACCTTCATATCCATCCCTATAGATGTGAAGGCCATAAATTAGTGCCACAAATCCACTGAGTTCCATACCAATCACTCTCTCTAAGGGTAAGAATAGGCATAGTTCATAAAGCACCCAGCCTTGTCTCATAATTTCCAGGTTGATCATTTTTAGTATGATGCGATTCATGGGGTCACAAAGAGTTGGACACAACTGAGCGACTGAACTGAACTGAACATAGAGGAGCTTTTAAACTTATATGACCATAGCCTGGTGTTAACCATGTAGATACACCCCACAGCTGTGGGCATTTCCTTTCAACAGATGAGAGGTTAATTTTTTTTATTGAGACTTAGCTCATCTGATTGTGTTTGAATGACCCTAAGAGAAAACTTAAATCTATGGCCAGCATGAGAGCAGGTATTATTAATTGGCCAGATGAGAGGATCCCATCTAGTAATATCATGAATAGATAGAACAGGACTGAACACTCATCTAAAATAAATTTCCTAGGGGGTATCCAATCAGAGCCTTAGAGAACAGAAATCCACCAAGGTAACCCAGAAGTTCTAGACACAGGTAATTGGCCCCAACACAACAATTGGATTGAGTTAAACTAGCATAGAATCATATCCATGATAGAAAATATTTGATTGATAGGCATAGGTCCAAGGATTCAGGAAAACATTATAAATGACCACACAAGTCAGATCAGCACCTCGGGCAAGCTACTTCTGATGTTGTCTCTTTCTTGTCCTAGTGTAGTGTAGTTTCCTCTGTTTGAGGAAGGTGAGTTTGAGGTCAGCAGGCCTCTCCATATACCAGTCCAGATTAGGGGTCTTTGGAAGAGGGAGTTAATTCAAGAGTCAATTTCTCATCAGTTTCACTGTGCATGAGTCAGTTAAGAGTACCTGATAGAAAGGTCCTTCCATCTAGGTTAGAGACAGTTCTTTAATTTATGTCTTTTTCTAGTCTTGGTTGCAGGTCATGCGTGAGGCATCTGATCTTCATCCAAAGACAGATTACTGAGATAAGCTTCAGAAACAACCCTAGCATGTCCTTTAATAATTCAATTAAATGTTACATTAATATACCCTAACAGCAAAGAACTATCCAGGAAATGATTCTTAGTAGATACAGACCTCCATTAACAAACTGAGATTTAACATTCATTGAAACATCTTTTTCTCCCTAAAATCACCATCATTTTTACCAAGTATAACCAAATTAAAATAGGCCTGGTCCCAATAAACTTGTCCTGATGATTTATATAACCATAAATGATCATAGACTTTTTTGCTTTGCTGACTTTATAGACATTATAGAGTCTCAGACTGAACTTTTAAAATAAAACCTTTCAGGGCTTCCCTGAAGGCTCAGACAGTAAAGCATGTGCCTACAATGCAGGAGACCGGGGTTCAGTCCCTGGGTCAGGAAGATCTCCTGGAGAAGGAAGTGACAACCCACTCCAGTATTCTTGCCTGGAAAATCCCATGGATGGAGGAACCTGGTAGGCTACAGTCCATGGGGGTCGCAAAGAGTCAGACATGACTGAGAAACTTCACTTTCTTTTCTTTCTTTCTTTCTTTCTTTCAGGGCTAGGAAAGTCCTGCGAAAGGCTTATCACAAATTTTGCCTAACAGATCTAAGTAAATTCCTCTGTTCTCAAGGTCTCCAAAATTGCTTGAGATTTCTGTACCTGTTAGTGAGATAACCTTTCTAACTTATCTGATAAAGTTACTGGAAACTAAGAGCTTCCAATCTCTGGAGGGTTCAGATAGAAAAGATAAATGTTCCAATTTGTTTGTAAAATACAATTTTACCAAATTACTGTCATAATTAGTTTGAGGGGAAGGTGTGTCTTACACCTGGAAAACACAGATTCAAATCAGTAATTTTTCAGATAGAAACCTTAAAGGTTATAAGCATATTCACCAGTTCATTCAGCCTTTTGTTAACCTTTGTGAAGTCATCAGGTTTTCCATTAGAATCCTTACCCAATTCAGAAATGTATTTATCCAAAAGTCCTGTCTATATATCTCCTTGAAGAGGAAGCATTTTTGCTAAACTTGGTTAGTGCTATGACAATATTTTGAGATAGTAACTAGA